GAACCGGCCGATTAACCGTTCAAACCGTTTTCCAATTTTTTAAAATTTTTTATTTTTTGTCAGAACAGACCAGCTGTTCAAGTCGAATGATCAGACCATTCGAACCAATAACCGGACCCTGACCGATTCGATCACGGGTTCGTTTTTAAAAACCATGCCATAAACTAAAGTAGGATAGAGTACTAGTTAGACATATATTGAAATTTCGATATTTGGCAGTGGAGTGCAACAAGGGTTGGTTTTGGTTGAGAGGTTGTCAATTTTTTAATGGGCCCAGGCCCAAACCTAAACACGTTGTAGTTGAAATTCTTCAAATCCAACAACCGCATTTGACAGGCAGCCTTAGCTGTATCAATCCTCTTTCTTGTAATGTGGAGGGCCCCCTTAAAAGAACTAGTATCTTTGGAATGCTTTCTTGACAATTGATAGATCAGAAAAGTTGTTCTGACCGGATTAATAATTTTATCTGCTTCTCCACTGTAAACTATATTCAACTCATACACCAGGCTGTGGAGTCTTGGCTCTACGCCGAAAGTGATTCTCAAACTAATGGTTTCACTAATGGTTTCTGAGTTGATAGGTGCATATAAAACTTAAGATCGATAATATTTCATTTCGAGGGCTTATTCTACCTGACTTTAAATCCTCTATGGGTTCTTGGCTGATGACCTGAAATTATTTCAAGCGTCTCATCGGCAGACCGCCGATACTTGAAATCATGGTTTTTAAAACTGATTTGGAGACTGAACCGGTGAGGGGTTTGGTTATCGGGTCAAATGGTTCGAATGATTAGCCCGTTCTAATAAAAAAATAAAAATTAATCAAAACCATTCGGATGATTTAATTGTCTGAATCAGTGATTTGTTGATCAAAATCAACGGTTTTTATGAAAAATTCAATTTTGGGGAAAATTGAAACCGATCACCTGACCTATTCCTGATTTTTCCGGTCTGACCATCTACTCTGGTCCGATTTTGAAAACCATACTTGAAGTAAAAGGAGTTTGGGGTTTGATCAGTTTTAGCTTTTCAGGACGTAGGCAGGCCTAACACCGACCCTTTGATCTATTTTTGAAAACAAAATTAAGCAAAAATGGGAGGTGTAGGATCAGAATACTCGATACGGCACCTTTTTAATATATCACCGTGTATCCATATTTTGAATCTTGACAATGATTGGGAGTAATTGTGCTTAATTGATTTTATTTAATATCTTTTTAAAAAATAAGTAAAAAACTAAAAAAAAGAAAAAAAAAGATACCGATCTTGTTGGTAAAGTGGCCTATTTTGTTTGTATACCACCATCGTCGTTCTTAAACTAAATCTTGTGAAGTTGAAGTGGGGGCAGAGCCAAGTAGAGCATCTATCAAATATTTGAAAACCTTACAAACTTTATATTGGAATTTGGATTAGTTGAGCCGGCTTTAGTTGTTAAGCCGGCTGTAGAACCAATAATAAGGTTTTTATATCAGTATTTAAATACATGGGGCCCCATCTTTATTACCGGCATGAAACCACATCATTGGTAACACATCCTGCTTAAAGCGTTAAGTTAAATCTTACTCTTTATATTGCACGTCAAATCCACTTCTGAACTTAGAACCGGCAACAAGCTGACCCAACCTGACCTGAAAAAAGAGGGTTAAGGTTCCCTATATAGACACATGAATTAGAATAGGTCATCGCCAAACGTTTTCAAACCGGCAGTGAAGCAAAAGGTTGAATTGTTAAAACAAGACGTTCAACCCTTATTTTTGGTAAAAAAAAAAAAAAAAACATTGACCAAGGTTTAAAATTTTGATATTGTATGTAATGATAGTCCGATGAAATCCCACCAAATAATGGGTGTTTTGAACTTTGACCAGTTTCAAGGGGTAGGTAGGCTTAAAACCGACCTCTGAAACAATTTTGAAAAAAAAAAAGTTATTAGGTAGTTAAACACCTGATATGCCTGTGAATTAACCCTAATATGAACCCATTTGAATTGTCAATTAACCCTAATATGAACATTTAGGATTATGGTCTTGCCTTTGCCATCATGACCTGAAACACCCGATGCACATGTTTATGTATATGTTTAGCATTGATGCTGCATATATAGCACCGTTTGTTGATGTGTAGGTTGGAAGTAGCGTTTTCTCAGAAAACAGTGTCTTTTTTTTGTTTGGAAACATTGTTGTCAGGTAGGATGTTTCCTGAAGAAACAATACTTTTTGTTTGGTAGCAGTGCACCATATCTGTTTTCAGCACTGATACCCATTATAGGAAGTCCACATCACTGCCACATCACGTTTTTATTGGCAGCAACGAGCTCTAATCTGAGAAAATGTCAAATTCAGCATTTCTCCAAACCACACCTTATCGATTTCCAAAACGTGGTTTGGAGCACCAGTTTTTATAGAAAATCCAAACAAACAGGCATTTCCTGATGCACTGTTTTTTTCCAATGTGGTGCTGATGTATCATCGTTTTTTGGAACAACAACATTGATGCCAAACAAACGCTATATGTATGGGGTATCAATACTTTGAACCATTCCATTGACTTCATCAAAGAGCAGCTGGCCTGGACTGTTCAACCATTGACCTGCCTGACTTATGGGTTAACCCTCACCTAAACATTTAGGATTACGGGTTTTGCCTTTGGCATCTTAACCCGAACCAACCCAATTGTAAGGTCTATTTGAAATTATAAGCTTCCCCCTCCTGCATTTTCTTTTTTCTTGACTGTGCATTTGACTTGAAGTATAGAGTCAGTTGAGGAGGAAAAATACCAATGTTGTGGATCGGGAAGAAAACTTTATCAGATCGAATCTAATATAGCTAGTAGGGATTCAAGATGGTTGGGCTAGGCTGGGTTTAGGCCCAACCCTAACCATTGGGCTTAATGCCAGAGCCTCGGCTAAGCCTGAGGCGAAGCCCAATCTATTTAACCTGGGCCCAGCTTAAACTGAATTTTGACATACTTGGGTTGGACAATTGGCTTAGGCAGGCATATTAGGTCCAATGTATTAAAAAGTTCCATTAACCTATTCAATACCAACACCTAAACTTGATACCTTTTGCACATATGCATGTGTCCATGTATGTTTATATACACAAACAGTTGGTTTGGGCCTAGACTAGGAATAGGCCCAAGAGCTTGAGGATAAAAAATTGAAGCTCAGCCCGTGTAAAATTTCATGGATTCAGGTTGGGCTGCCAAATTGCATTCCTAATAAGTAGATTCAAATTTGATTTTTTTATATTCACATCTTACCTGTTGGATGCAAGTAATTATTGGCTATTGGATAGCATTTATAAAGTAAACTACAAGTGACCAAAATATTATATTATTAATAAAATGAACTAAAAATCACTTGATTCACAAAACAAACTGAAATGAAAATAAGTTCTTCCACAATCCATGTTTAGTCTTTGGCTGTCCTATACAACCTTCATTCCTTCACATTAGCCAACCGCAATCTTATTGAATCTGTTGGGAACTTGGTAGAATAGCAAAATTTTTTGCAGTAAAGGCTCTCTACGTCTTCCCTTACAATGCTTCCTTATCACTACCACACATTTAGGGTCTGTTTGGTTTGCAGTCGGAATGAGAATTGGGATCAAAATCATTTGGAATCAGAAAGGTCTATTCCCATAATCTATTTGGTTTAGATAAGAATGGAACCAGTAGGAATGGGATTTCATTCCGAAGGAAGAGGGAGAAAATGACCATCCCCTATAAATGTCATTCCACCAGGAATGAGAATGGGATTCCAATTCTATCCAACCAAACAGTTGGAATATTCTTATTCCCATTCCAGACCCTTATTCCCACAAAACAAACGGTTGGGTTCCCTTAGTTTTTTATTGCAACAATACTACACTTTGAAATCCAGCAAATCTGCAACTTTTTTTGTTGACTCGCCTCATTCACCAGGTTAATTGGGCCAAATAGATATATCATAAATGTTATGCCAATTGCCCAAGTACTATATCAATTTTAACACTTGATTTTAATTAACCCCAGGAAGCTTTTATACCTCTACTTATTACAAATGGAACTTCGGAAAACCTTGAAGCAGTGACTATTGTGTCAAAAATTGAATTACTTTAGTGTGTGGGTGAGAAGAAACCATATATGATAACCATACTTCATTTGTGGTCCTAAAATTAATAAGTTGTATGTCATGTGGTCCTAAAATTAATAAATTAATTGTTGACTCGCCTCATTCACCAGCTTCTCTCTTTTTTCTTTCTCTCTCTCGTCTCCTTAATAAGTTGTATGTCATGTGGTCCTAAAATTAATTTTTAAATTAAAATAATAATAATTAATTTTTGACTTAATCATTTAATTAAGCAGTTCATGTAGAACGGATTCGGAGCATAGATCATATTCTCTGTTCCTGACCTGAAATTAATTCCCATCTCCGTCTTTGATACCCACTGTGGATAAAAGTTGTCATCAATCCCTGATCCCCGATGGGGATAGGTTCCCCGTGGGGACCCGAATCCTCAAATTTTTTTAGATAATAGTATTTTTTTGAAAAATAAATTTACTTAAACTAAATAAAAATTTTTAAATATAAATAATGTTTTAAATATATTTTAATATATATAAATAATATCATATATATATATATATATATATATATATATATATATATCCCTAACTCCAATCTCTCTCCCTGTCTTCGGCCTCCAAATAAATCTGTTCATAGACCGGGCTCAAATTTAACTTTTATCAAATTTTGAATGGACCCGACCTGAAACCTGAACCCGACATAATGTAAAGTCAGGCCCGAAGCCTAACCCGTAAACAGATGTACCTCAAAGCAATCCCATCGCCAACCCCATCCGATCGGGGAAGTCGATCCCCGTGGGGGAAGGGGAAAATTCCCATCCATAAGTTCGTGCATTGCAAACGACTAAGAAAAATTAATATTCAAGTAAGTAACAAAAAGTAAAAAACATTCGAAATGATAATAAGAATAAATACTGATTGTCCATACTTGTAAAAGAGTAAATAAGTCTGACAGATGAGAGAATGAGAAACTAAGCGTTGGGAGAACCCAGTATAAATTGTTTGAAGATAGCCATGGTCTCTATAGCCCTGCTGCGATCAATGTGATCGATTCCATGGAACCCAACTTCCTCGAATCGTGCCTCCACTCGCACTCCATGTTTCACTAGCATCTGAACCAACTCCATCTGCCGATCGATGGTTATGTCCCCGCCGTACCCTCTCACTATAACTCTTCCTATAGATCCAATCTTTGCACTGTGACTCCCTCTAACCATGGGATTGCAGTATTCATGGTCTCGATCGGCGTCCAATGGCAATGCCAACTCCCATATTAGATCCGTCACCGATAACGGTAGAATCTGATCGTCGGCAAATTCCACTTCAGAATCTGTTCGTTCGATCCCACCAAAGAAGGGCTGATCCAAAATCGTCCCCTGGATTTTCACCGGCGCGAGGTCCATGTCCAAGGAGCGCAGCCTCACATTGTACGCAATGTTGCCTCCGCTGTTCCACCCGGTAAGGAAACAGCGAGAGAAGTCGGCGTAATTCTTCAACCAGGGCTGACCATCGGGGCTCAATGCCTGATTCTTCAACCACAGAAGTGCATCTTCCCCATCTTCGTAAGCAGCCGGGAGTCTGTGCTCCGGAGCGAGACGGTAAGCAACAGACACAACGATTGCAGGTCCAAAGCGAACGAAATTCTCGCAGAATTCGTGGCAGAATATGGTGTCTGGACCGTTGTGTATCATTCCACCGCCGTGGAAGTAAATCGAAACAGGAAGGCGCACGGTCACCCGATCATTGGAAGGTAGTTTGGAAGGACGGAAGATACGGACCCAGGTCCGCTTTTGGGTATTGAGGGTTATGTCTTTTGAGATCACGGTTCGTTCCTTGATGTTTTCCGATGCCGCCACCGTCTGCAGGGGCTGCAGTCGGGTGAGCGTTCCGTCTCGGTTGAGTACCACCTTTAGTTGCTCGTAGGGATCAAGGGATCTCATCTGCTCGCATGCCATTAATCCTTTTTTTTTTTTTTTTAATAATCTTGACCTACTTTAGGGTTTACAGAGGTTTACAGATAAACACAGCGCACCTGGCAGCAGAGAGAGGCCAACCTTCATGTGTGTAATGAAAACAGTCGAACTCGGACAACCATGACCATGAGCGTCGTAGAAATGAAAAGCATATATAATGGCCAAACTTGTATCTCAATGGTCAAACAAAGAAAGAATGCTCGTCCGGCATACAAGGATCGAACCATTATGTGAAGCCATTAATCAACAGAATTGTGCGCTGAGAGTGCCAGCTAGGAATCCGGATCGCTGCTATAGTCTCCGGCAGGTCCTGCTTGGCGCCGGCCCAAATTAAGGTGAGTGCCCACTAGAAAATTGCTACAAATAGTTGGTCAGTTCATTTCCAAGACAAAGACGTTATGATATGCTTAGGGGTTTGGACTTGGACCTTTGGGCTTAATTCGTTGTTCTAAAACCTTTAGGCAGAAAAGATTGGGAAAAGTAGGGAAAGAATGGGGACTGCTTCATTGTAGACTTAAATCCAAATTCTTTGTTCTTTGTTTTGCCACAAATAGCCCCCTGTACTATGATCGTGAGATAAATATCCCTTTTCGTTAGCCTTCCGTCTATAAAAACCGTTATAATATTTTTTAATCTTTATATTACCCTCGGACGAGAAAAACACTGTTGATCTTGTCTGACCTCACGATACACTAACAGTAGCGGCGCTAATCTCATATATCTCAGGTTTCTTCACATTTCTCTCTCCCTCTCTCTCCCTCTTTCTCCTCTCTCTCTCTCTCCCTTTCGCCCTATCTCTTTTCTTACCTTTCCCAGTGAGAGGTGATACAAAGCTACCGCGGATCTGGTGTTTTTCTCGTCAAGCGCCCGGTTGACATCACCGTAGACGAAAAACGGTGACACCGACTGGTGTTTTTCTTGTAGCCGACATGCAGTATGGTGGGTCGATAATATCATCGTAGCCGACATTCTCGACCCACCATACAAAGATCTGGTGTTTTTCTCGTCCGTAGCCGATGACACCGACTTCACCGTAGCCGACATCCACAGACTGCAATGGAGGATAGAAGAGAATTCTTAGGGTTTTTAGTGAGAACAGAGAAACAGATCTGGAGGTGGAGCCAAAATTCTGAGTGGTTCTTGCTGAGTTTGTTGTGTCTCAGACAAATTGCTATTCTGTCGGGAATTTCGAGTGGTTCTTGCAGTCATTCACGCCAGTGCACTCTTAATTTTTATCCTCCAGATCTGTTAGCGTATAGATTTCTATCGGGAAGATGAAGTCTTTGTCTCGTTCAAAGGTAATATGGGGATTAAAAAATATTATAACGGTTTTTTAAGACGGAAGACTAAAGGAAAGAGATCTTTGTCTCACGGTCATAGTATAAGGGGATATTTGTTGCAAGGGGTCTTTGTCACAGACCCCATAATACAAGAAGGTCTTTTTAATTTATTAAAAAAAAAGAAAAAGACATATTCATCCCTGTGTAACTTGACAAGGGACTAAAATTGATGCTCGATCCCACCAAACAAGTGAATCCGGCCAGCTGATGAATAAACAAGAAAATCAAATAGCTTATTCCGATTCTACGGATTCTGCACTATAAAGAGATAACTATGATTCCAATCAGTTGGTATAGGAATACCAATAGCTACTGTAGAAACGGTGGACCTATTCCCATTTCATTGACGAGTGTATGACTTGATTCTCAAGCAGGGGTGATCGTTCTGTTGGTAAGTGGGCAGAGGCCCTCGATGGTTAATAAGCTTTAGCCATGTCAGTAGAGAATATTCTTGGCATGGTCAAAGGTTTGGCTAGGTAATTGAGAAATTATGGCTTAAAATCCTACCTAGTTGGACACTTGTTCATTGATCCTGCGGGCTGAACAGGTCCAAGTGATAGTTTACTAACGACTACTCTCCATAATCTGAGGGAACTCTCTAACTTAAAAACCTAAATGGGTATATATAAGCCCCTCCTCAGAATGGCATAGTGCGATATGGGAGAGCCAGCAAAGACACTATCACTTGGACTTATATTACAAGTTGGGTCTCATCCACAGTTCTCTAGTCTTGTACTAGGAACAGGCCAAATGTATTAGCCCCAAGATCAGAATACAGTATTGTTTGCAGGGCCAACAGTCTTTACGGGCATCCTTTGCAGGGTCTATCACGTTCATGGCCCGGCCTGATCCAGCCCGGCTAACAATATATAATAAATGAAATATATATTATATCAATATTATAGATATGAAAATATATTTTATTTTAGGGGTTATATCAGATAAGGGCAACTTTTTGCCCTGAATATTAATAAAAAGTAATATTTTTATAAAATAATTAAAACAGGATAACTTTTTTAGAAAAATATAAAAAAAGAGCAGTAATACTGTTCAACGTCTTCTTCTCCTGCTCTTTGAAGAGCAAGACGGTGGAATGATATTTTTGCCCTGAATAAGGGCAAAAAGTTGCCCTTATCAGATAAAAACCCCTTACATTATTCATGAGACCATAACTATGAGTGAATAAGTGATGGACGGAACGACTCTATCCGCCTCTGCAAGAGGAGAGCAAGACCGGATGGATGGATGCCCTTTTAGTTGCAGAGTTCTGGTTGTAACCAAAAACAAAAAAAAAAATTTCATGTCTGTCGCTGATGGAACATGGCCGATCCATATTCCGATTACATGATTGTTGTAACTACGCTAAAAGTGCAATTTCTCCGGACATCGTCAGTATTAGACTACCACACACCTAATAAATAGCATTTCCTCCTGACTCCTGAGTCCTGCTTATATGGAGCTTTTACTACTTTACTAACTATAGATTTGCAGTGGATAATCCAACACGTCGGATTTATTCACGTCTAATTAAAGAAGACGATGAATCCGGCGGTGTTGAGATTCAGAAAATTTTTGACGAGCACAACGCTAATCCCGCCACACCCGCTACAGATATATTTTTTACGGGAGTAGCAGTTCATCAGAGC